ATCCCCAACATTCTGTGATTCTGTGAAGAGGTGTTTCCTATTAACACAGCTTTCAAGTTAGCCCCAACCCCTATAACCCCCGGCTGGTACTGTTACAACAACAACCCTTAGAGATGTCTGGCTGCTTGTTAGTACTTAAAGTGTCTCTTTACTTGCATTTATAAGGGCTTTTGGACTCCACTGCCCCAACAGAACCAGACTTGAGTTTTCCAAGACCCATTTTAGAGGTTTTCACACAGGGACTTGTGAAATGTTTATAAATATCTAAAGGGTGGGTGTCAAGAAGATGGGGCCAGCAATAGGACAAGGGGCAACAGGCACAAGCTGGAACCCAGGAGGTTCCACTTTAACATGAGGAAAAACTTTCCTGTGAGGGTGCCAGAGCCCTGGGACAGCCTGCCCAGAGAGGCTGTGGAGTCTCCATCTCTGGAGATGTTCACCTGGATGCAGTCCTGTGCAGCTTGCTCTAGGTGACCCTGCTTTGTCAGGGGGGTTGGACTGGATGATCTCCAGAGGTCCCTTCCAACCCCAACCATTCTGTGATTCTGTGAACTGTTAAACTATTTACTTATTTTCCAGCAATCAAAGACCCAAGGATAAGGGAGAACTTTCCCAGCACTTCAGCTACCCCAGGAAGCCTCACAAATTCAAACCCCACATCTAGGCTGGTAAGGCACACAATACAGACACTTTGTTTGAAATGCAGTAAGATTTAGAGCTATGCTATGCAGTATCTATTGCTTTTGTGAGGTAGGAAGAATATTGAAATACACATTATGCAAATACAAGACAATTTGGGAAGCCTGTAGAAAAACAGGTAATTGAACACAGGTCTCTTCAAATCCAGACAGGCATCCCTTGGCCTAGTTTCTGCCTCTGATTTTGAGGCTCCAATGTGTCACTTTGAGTGTTTTACAAGGGCTGAACTGCTGCCCCTTAGCACACAATTGAGGCTGAGACCCTCAAATCCTGTAACAACACTTGCCTGCTGTAACTCCTTCTTATTAGTCCCCTACTTAAAATGAAGAAAGCTGCCAGCCTATATCCAAACATATATATGATGACAGAGATTGGAACAGTGCCACACAGAATGGAGGATGCCAGGATCTGCATAAAAAAAGTATTTTATTAATAACACATAAATAAACATATATAACCCTTACATACATTTTTCAGGTAACACCACAAAACCATCTGACAGTACTCCAGGAAAAAAATAATCCTGCTCAGGAGGCCATCACAAATGGGCATCACCTCCATGGTTTCAGGCAACTTCAAGACCATGCAGGATTTCAGCACAATTTGGAACAGTTATTAAAGAGTGGATTTTCACCAGTCTAGCTCTTGCTGGTTCAATGCTATGCTGCTGAAGCCACAGATGTGCTGGTTGAATGGGTAAATGACCTGATTAGTTCAAGGAAAAAATCTTTAGTCTGTGTAATATGCTTGTTACTGAACCACAAGCATGAGGATTTGCCCTTTGCATATTTAAATCAGGTGCTGATAATTCCATGCACTCCTGTCTGCATGCCTTGATTAGCATTTTGCACCACAATTTCCACTCCAGACTTGGTGGCAAATTGATGTTTTACTTCAGTTTATTACAGTCCTCTAAGAATCATTAAAGACATCTCACAGAGTCACCACTTCAGCAGAAAAGCCAACAAGAGACAAGAACCAACTTAGAAAAAATGTTGCCTTTCAAAAGAGTCTATGATGCCACTTCAACAGTGATGATTTCACACTTCCCGGTATCTTGATCTGTACAGGTAACGTGCAGGGACCCATCCCTAAATAAAAGAAAAAGGTATGTTTAGGACTATCTCTACACAATACTCGGCATGTTCCAGAGAGGATAAACAACAGTCTTCATGCAGATGAAAGGAAGGAAGATGAGCATCAAAATATCCAGGGAAGAACACGCTTCAACAGAGATGAAATTGATTTATGAAATGAGTATTACTGAGTATTTAGATATGGACTTCTTGCTTTTCATTACAGCATGTATCTTCTCTACATATGGTGGAACAGATTCAGGAACACGTTTAAATATCCTAACTAATTTTATCTAGTACAGGCTTGTAAACAGAATATGCAGTATTATTACCCAAAATACTAAACTTGAGAACTCAAGAGTAACAGCAACCAACAGGTAAGCTGGTCTTCTCAAAGCATGAGAACGTGACTTTTAAGTATTAGTCTTTAAATACCAAGGATCTCCTTCAACAAGGAAAAGCTTAATTTTCAAAATCCAAGAATTAGAGACAATATTGAATCCTACTTCATCTAAACATACAAGAGTCATACGTAATATTTAGATATATAGATGTTCCAGTGAACTGTCCCCATCTTTTTCACCTAAATATTACTAAAAACATCATTAAAATAATGCAGGTTTTCTGCACTACGCAGTTGCATATATAACCCCCAAGGTGTTTTTCTTATCAATGCTAACTGCAAGTCTCTGTATGACTAACAAGGTATTTTAGGTGAAGTCTATTAATAAAGCATTAATACACCTGATAGTTAACATAAGAAAATGAAGTATTTTGAACTCAAATAGCAAGTAGGGATTTAGTTTTTCAGCAACATCTAGACAATTTTCCTATTATTTTAGAAAAGCAATATGAACTCCAGAACAGTCTTCAGAAGACAAACATGTTTTGACTACTTAAAATTCCACCTTCTGGTATCTTTATAAACAATTTAGACTATTTGAAATGAGCCCAAGCACTCCTCTTAAGACCTAAGAAAGAAATTTCTTCAGTATCACATCATCCCCATTCCCCACCCCAGCATAAGATACTTCATATTTTTCCAGAACAAACAGGTAATTCTGTAAAAAGCAGATTTATGAAGCCTGATTTCCTGTGGCATTGTTTCTTAAGCTTAACAGGTTATGCCACAGGTTTTAATCACAAATGCTGCATATGAGAAGCGTTTTGTGGATTGCTTAGCAACTAATAAAGACAGACTCTACTTCAGTATTTCCTAAGAGTGTGGGCATTCAACAGATCTCCCTGGCACCCTCCCACAGGAAATTTGAGATCCTGACTGCTCTCAGGCATGGTTAAAGTGATCAACAGCTCAAAAGTTGCTAAAAATCACCTGTACAGTCATGTTAAGTTTTGTTTCTTTAGGAATCAAACAACAAAATCACAGAAGGAACTGCATAAAAACCACATTCCTACAGAATTTACTCCTGCCAGGACACAGCCCTGTAAGCAGTGAAATGCTGAAATTCCTCAACACAAAATTAAACACTCTGTAACAGAAGAATGCTTGTCAGAAGTGTGACATAGCAAGATAAACGGTAGAACAATAAATATTTTGGGTACCTTTTCATAGTGAGAACAGTTAGTATATCATGTAGCCCATCCTCCTTTTTATCTAAATCCTGGAGTACAATCTATTTAAAAAAAAAAGTTAAATTATAATCAAGTTCTCTCAATCCTTGCATAGTAGTTTAATGGAAGTGACACGACAGTGAAGGTGTGCAATTCATTGTTTAGCATTTCACACTAATAATTCAACAACAAAGCACGCCCCAGTGGACTGCACTCACCTGTAGTGCAAATCTATGTATTGTCAGCTATTTGCACTACTCTTCCAGTGGTTTTGTTTCAGGGTCTATCACTAAGACAGCTGGAGTACCTACAGCTTCCAACACAGACTGCAGTGAGAGCTGAGCATGTTCCTTTACTTGGGATCAGCTCTGTAATTATTAGGTAACATCCCTTCCCCATCCCCTTAAAGATCTTTGGGCAGGACTAAGGTGGAATAAGAATTTTCAAGTATTCCATCAATTTCAGCCACACTGGCCCTCTCTCTGGTGCTTCAAGTGCCCTGAAGCCAAGGTAAGCACATCATCACTGTTTCAAACAAGCTGTGTTCTCTCAGGAGGTTGACTCTAGAGTAGTAACTTCGTATCAGGTGAGGATTTAACAGCATCATCTTACCACTGTGAAAAAACAAATGTGGTATCTAATACCAAGACCCTCTCCAATCTAGATCAAAGAGTAATCAATAGCACATACACTAGCTACATCACTACCTCCAGCAGTTTAATTTCTAAAATGTTGGAGATCTGTGTACTACTGGAATGACTGGTTATGATCTCCCATCCCAGGTGAGCTTATTACAGCAGTGCCAGACATCAAACCCAGACAGCCACTTAGAAACCCAAAATGGAAACTTCCATTTCTTTAAAAAGGGCTTCAATGCTTCATAATACACGTACAGAAGAATGGTTAAAGGCCATTTCCAAGGAGATGCACGTCATTCTAATTTTGTAATAAGTTTTGGCAGGGGTGGGATTGGTTTCAGTTTTAAATTTTAATTTTTTTGTTATTTCTGAGTGGCTGGTATTAAAAGTGTGTATGAATGTGTAAATACTCACCTGTGCAAATTTACCTTCTTCATTCATGGGACTTTTCCCCAGTGACTCATATAGTTCAAGGCATACAGAGGAAGTGTTTCCAGGAGCGTGCAGGGTGTGCTGCCTTCGAGCTGGTAATGGTGTCCCTGATGGAAACAGCACTGTGAATTTGTCAGCCCCTGACTCGTCTACTCCCTTTAAAAAGAAAAAAAAAAAAAGTTCATGCCTTTCTCTAAGTACTTTAGTGAGCTGGAAGTGTTACAACAGTGCTCCATGAGAAAAGAAATCCAAGACTCATTCTCTCTGCTGCATTTACCATTACAGCAAGTAAAAAAAAAAAAAAAAGGGGGGATTCCTACAAATACATTAAAAAAATCCAGCTCTTACAACATAGCAAAGACAAAATCTATCTCCTCTTATAATCAAGCAGTTTTTCTTGTCAACATTTTTGTCAATAAGCCCAAGTCACCACTTACTGCTGATCTACAGCCAATCTGCAGAACTCGCAATAAAACAATTCTGTTTCGCTAATATCAGTCAAACATAAGCAGTGCTGCACATTCATTCCTACAAGAAAGCTGGGGAAGGACTTTTCATAAGGGCAGTTAATGACAAAACAAGGGGAAATGGGTTTAAGCTGAAAGAGGGGAGGTTTAGATGAGATATTAGGAAGAAGTTCTTCACTGTGAGGGTGGTCAGACACTGGAACAGGTTGCCCAGAGAAGCTGTGCCTGCTCCTCCCTGGAAGTGTTTAAGGCCAGGCTGGATGAGGCTTTGAGCAACCTGGTCTAGTGGAAGGTGTCCCTGCTGCTGGCAGGGGGGTTGGAACTGGATGATCTTTAAGGTTCCTTCCAATCCGAACCATTCTGTGATTCTATGATTGCAGCAGTAAAGTTTTCCAAGTTAAATAATTTTAGCCTTACCTTAAGAAGAATATCTTTGGCAGAACACTCAATAAAGAGCGCTTCTTCTTCTAACAAAGGATTCTCTTTTCCTAGCAGAATTCCCGCCTCTATGGCTGCACCAATGGGAATAACTTCGTCTGGAGGAATTGAATTCAGTAATTCCACAGTTGGGAAAATGTCTTTGATCAGCTGCTGTAGCTTTGGGATTCGAGCAGACCCACCGCACAGAACTACCTGGAAAACATGCCTGAATGATTTCAAATCTTTTCCTTCTAACAGACAAAACAGAGAGGTCACAACCTGCAATACAGAAATGCAAACCACTCTGGGATGTTTTATCATCTGCAGTTGTTGAAATAAAAATTTATGCCATCTTTGCTCGACTTCTGTTACTTTTGTGTTTGAAATTCAAGGAAATAACTTGCAAGTTGGAAATGGTATCTTGAAAAAGTGTTTCTTATAGGAAGCATTGGAGAGATAAGGTAATGTAAAAATTGAGGAATTAATCATAAAACATCAGGTTTTAAGGGACCTCCAGAGGTCATCTAGTCCAACCTCCTGACCAGAAAAGGTCCTGTTACAATAGGCTGCTCAGGACCTTATCTCCACAGATGCAGATTCCACAGGCTCAGTGGGCTCGTTTCAGTGCTTGATCACTCTCACACTACACCTTCTTCTCTTGGTACCTAAAATTTCCCCATGTTGTAACTTGTGCTGCTCTCCACTCACCCTTCCATCAGGCACCTACAGGAAGGAGTAAGTCAGGTTTTACCTTGTGTATGCCTTCCTGTTAGGTAACTGCAGGCAGCACTAGTCTCCCTTGAGCCTTCTCTTCTTACGTGCGAGCAAACCCAGCTCTCTCAGCCTCCGTACAAGATCTGCCCCAGCCCCAAACCATTTCGGTAACCCTCCAACTGGACTGGCTCCAGTAGGTCAGTACCTTTCATCTCCTGTGAAGGCCAAACACGATGAGGTTGTACCTGGACACTCTGTTTAAGTGCCAAAGGGGGAAACAAGCGCTTTCCTACACCCATGGCTTCACTGTTGCTACTACAAGCCCGGCACTCAACTGGCCTTCTCTGCTGCAGAGGCACGCTGCTGACTGCTGTGAAACTTCCTGTCCATTAGAATCCCCCCGTCTGTTCCTGCAAAGCTGTTTTCTAGCAGCCACCAGCCTGTCCTGCTGCACAGGATCATTCCAACCCAGACGCTGCATCTGCCTTTGTTGATCATTGTGATGTTCTTCTCCACTGGACTAGATGATCATTGCAGGTCCCTTCTGACTGAAATATTCCATTATATACATTTCTCTTGCCTTTTTAAACCCCTCTGAATAGCAGCCTTGAGCTACAGTGGTATTGATTACTCCCCTCATTTTGGTACTGCCTGCAAACATGCTGAGAGCACATGCTACCCCATCATCCATTTTTATTAATAGAGCCATTACACAGTATCAAATCCTGAGGGATGTCATTGACAACCAGCTGTCACATACTGATGTTCTGCAAGGAAAAACCCTTAAAACCCTTTGCTTATTACAGTAACTTTGTTGAGATCAACCAGATCTGGAAACAAAGATCATTCCCCTTTTTCTTAAGGTAAAACATAACTTAAGAGTTGTAAATTAAGTTCATTTATTCTTACATTTAAAGTGCCTCTGCCTCCCCTCAAAAAAGCATTAAGGCCTGAGAGGACAGCACGTGGGGCCACTTAAAAAAAATACTGCCACCAGAAAATGAAAGACATTCTCTGACAATGGCCTACGATGTTTCATTATCCTACCAGCAAAACTCAGATGTGACACAGCAAACACAAAGGAAGAGTCTGAAATAGCATCAAGTATCATGAAAAGCACCAGCTAACTTTGGCTGCAGAAGCTGTGTGCCACTGGCAATAAATGCAGCACTATTTGCCACACACAGGTACACAGGAGTTGAGATGAAGTTACTCTCACATACAACAGCAAAAAAGACATTTGAATGAAACTAGTAATCTTCCCTACTTTACTCACCATCTTTGGCACTAAAGCACTCTATGGTTTGGCATCTAAGGTGCCTGCAGGTTTTTTTAAGCTAACAAGAACACAGGCACCAAGTAAACACCAAGTGATTTGTTCAACTCATAAGACAAAAAAAGTCCAAACTCAGGCTTTCCTCAGAAGTCTCAAAGCCCATCCAAACCCAGTGAGGGCAGAAGAAAGCCTATGTACTGACCTTAAAGAGGGTATTCCTCAGCTCCACCAAGAGTTAAACACACCAAATGGAGACAAATCCTCTACCATCTAGTCAGTGTGCAGCAGTAAAAACACAATGCTGACTCTGACTCCACCTCATACTTAACTTCAAGTAACTGGAATCAGAGCAAAGACAGGAGTTCTAAAGATCTTGAGTCTACATATAATTTTGTTGGCTCTGAGGCAAAATGCTTAAACACGTCATGAAATAATCTCAGTCTGCAAAGAAATCTGGTTATAAATATAATCTTGTTATAGTTATAAAGCATACTACAGACAAACAGTTTCTATTATTACCTTATTAATATCATCTGCTGTTAATCCAACTTGCTGCAAGAGCTTTTTAATTGCTTCTACGCATTTACTAAATAGTGAAGAACAGATAAGTTCAAATCTGGCCCTGGAAGGAAAAAAAACCAACCAAACAAAAAAATTAAGCATTATCTCATCCATCAGAGACAAATACCTGAAATGGAAGCACAATCATTTTTAGAATATACTTTGGTTCTCTAGCTATACTAGGTAATAGGTTTTTTGTTTGTTTGGGGGTTTTTTGGTTTGGTTTGGTTTTTGGGTTTGTTTGGGGTTTTGTTTTTTTTTTTTTAAGAAATCTTATTTCCCAATTATTCATCTCAAAGAAGTGATTTTGTTGTTGTTGTTGTTGTGAAAATATCTTATGTTATTGATTTAATCATTAACACCTACATGGAATATACATTCATTCTTCATCAGTGTACTCCAGAGAAAAAAAAAACAACAGTATTGTTGTCTGGGCTCATATGTGTAAAAAAAAAAAAGTTGAAAAGTCTCCTTTTCTTTAAAGAAAAATCAACAACAACAACAGTAAGAGGGGGAAATCCCCTATTTACACCCAAAAAAAGGGATGCAACATCTCTCCTGTGAGGACAGGCTGAGAGAGCTGGGGTTGTTCTCAGCCTGGAAAAGAGAAGGCTCCACGAACATCTTATTGTGGCCTTTCAATACTTAAAGGGGCCTGTAAGAAAGATTGGGACAGACTTTTTAGCAGGGCCTGTAGCAACAGGACATGGGAAGTGGTTTTAAACTAAAAGAGGGGAGATTTAGACTGGATATAAGGAAGAAATTTTTTACAATAAGGGTGGTGAAACCCTGGCACAGGTTGTCCAGAGAGGTGGTAGAAACCCCGTCCCTGGAAACATTCAGGGTCAGGTTGGACGGGGCTCTGAGCAACCTGATGTAGTTGCAGCTGTCCCTGCTCACTGCAGGGGGGTTGGACTAGATGACCTTTAAAGGTCCCTTCCAACCCAAACCATTCTATGATTCTATGAAACCCCCTCCCACCTTGAGTAATTACAGTATCAATTCCTTTTTCATCAACAGCAGACTCCAAAGATGAGGTTTCCCTCTGCCTTTTCACACTTTATTTTCTAACTGTTAGGGCAACCACTCTGACTACTACAGATCCCATCCTAATAGAGCTATCAATATGAAACAAAGCAAGTTGGTTTTCTATTTTACTTGCATGTCTAAAATTAACGCCATCAAAATTCAAAGCTTATTAAATGTTCCTAAATACCACCTAGAAAGATTTCAAGCACAGTTTTATAGAAAAGCCATAGCTTCAAGACTTGCTTTACCTGGACACATTACAATCAAAATCTAATCCATCATATAATGAATCTACAAAACAGTTTGCACTTCCCAGGGTTGATAATGAGTGCTTTGCAATATCAGCGCTGTTCATTAACTTCATCATGGCTCTGGGATTTCCTCTAATATCATGTTTACAAGACCTACATTTTAAAAAAAGAGAAGATATCAGTTTAGAAAGGCATTTGAACAATAACACTAACTTTATAAAAGGAAAAACAGGTTAAAGCTATTGAACCTTTTCTGTACACATTTCAGTATTATCTACAATGCCACCATTGAAAGCTTGCAAAGAATTAAAGTGTCTATTTCATTTTCAACTACAGAACACTGTGTAGAGGCACCTGAACTCAGGCATTTGTGTTTATCATACAGATTTAAGTCTTTCTGAACAGTTTCTCAGCTGATCACATCCTGTAAGTGACTGCAAGGAGCAGCAAGAGAAGGTCTGCAAATTAACCAATTTTAACCACAGATGAAGAAGAAGGCTGAGGTGCTCAATAATTTTTTTGC